ATATATAAACACTGCACACCAGAACAACTAGACACAAGGAGTTTTTTCCTGAACGCCATCACTCTGCTAAACAAATAATTCCCTCAACACTGTCCAACTATTTACAAAGTCTGCACTACTATTATTATTAATCTCCTCATCACTCCTTATCACCCATCCCCTCCCCTTGTGACTATATGACTGTAACTTTGTCGCTTGTATCCTTACGATTTATATTGACTGTTTCCTAGTATGATTTGATCGCTTATTGTACCCTATGACTAGTATTAAGTGTTGTACCTTATGATTCTTGACTCTTGACGAATGTATCTTTTCTTTTATGTACACTGAGAGTATTTGCACCAAGACAAATTCCTTGTGTGTCCAATCACACTTGGCCAATAAAGAATTCTATTCTATTCTTTCTGTTCTATTCTATTCTATATTAAAATTATTGTTCAAGATACAATGTACCTCACAGTCATAACATAACCTTGAATTGCAAGCACGTGCAAAATGGCATACCATAAAGTGGAAACAAAACATCCACATTCCTTACCATTTCCTCCAAGAGCTTTCATGGTTACTTCCATCTGGGCATATTCATAGTTGAAGCTGATTTCACTGGATACCTCGCTGGAACTGTCTCCATCTAAATCCAGCTGCTCAGAGCTGTTGCTTCCTTTCATTGAACTATCTTTGTCTTCATCCTCTGCTTCTACTTTCTTTTTCTTTTTGGGCAAATTCAGCCTTAAACAGAAAAAGAAAAATGCTAAGAAGCACCGCCTTTGAAAACTGGTTTCATTTGATTTTGAAAAACAGATGCAGAGATGCCTTGTCAATGAGAGAAGATAATAGTATCCACTACATTAAGAACATAAAATTAAGGCTGCTATTAATGAGCCACAGAGATCCTTTCATCAATTATTGGGCAAAATTAGAAGCCACATTCTAACACACCTGGAGGATATCTGTCAGTGAACATGGACCTGGCTAAATTCCTTGCGTAGGTTCTGCTCAGCTTTTGTCATAGCTTATGTATATTTCAAAAAAGGTTGCTGTAACAAAACTCATGTCTGCATTGATTTGTGGGAAAGGGGATATCAATATATTTTGCTCAGATATTAAGTTACGTCTTCTAGATAATTATTTATTTTGGTTAGAGGTCTTTGAAGGAAAACTTTCTTCTGCATTTGGGCCTTCTGCTGTACTCTATTTTAATTAACTGTAACAAGTGACGTTTGGAATTTCCAAATTAAAAAAATATCTTGGGCAATTACTAACAGTTTGAAATATTCTAAGGATTATATTGGACCGTTGTAATATGTTCTACAAGAAGCTACTCTTGAAGACCACCCAGAAACTGTAGGTGATCCAGATGTGATACAGGTAGTGTTGGGCATTCCTTGGTATGTCATGTGACATCACTGTTCTGTGAATTGAACTAGTTTGCCAGTATACCTTCAGATGCAATTTGAAGTACTGTTTTTCACCCATAAGCTTTTCAGGGCATTGGGCCAGTTTACTGAAGGACAGCTTAGACCCCATGGTTTCTTTCTGTTTAGTAAGCTTGTCTACAAGTTGGTATACTTCGGATCAATAGTCAAATTGGGACCCCAAAAGTTTGCTCTTCATCGAAGTTTAAAGTTTGTGGAACCTTGTTCATTACATTTTCAGTTTGAAGGACCATGTTTGTCCAACACATGGGAATGCTTTTTATTTTTATTTTATTTTTAATATAAGCTATTCAGAAGCAATTGAGAGTTGGGTACCCTCCAAATATCATTAAGACATTTTATATACAGAAAATGAATATAATTTCACTTCAACATCCAAAATGGAATAAAATCACACTGAAGAAAATCATTATTATTTTCGGGCTTTTATCTGTAACCACAGAGATGGAAATAATCCAAGAGATATAGATATGCCATACCAATAATATTTTAAGTTCAGTTTAAACAAGGACTCAATCTAAATAAGATACACACATACGTACACATATATCTCCCCCTAACCTAGTTCCCTTGTAATTTTAGGCTAGGCAAATGACAGACTTTTTTTATTGCCTTAAAACATTAAGATGATACTAAGGTGGTCAGCCACAAATGATATAAGACTGAGCCCTCTTTTGCCTTACTTCCCCTCCTGCACAGCTTCCATATACTACTAAAAGTCTCCTTTTGTCTGTTTGTGATCTTCAACTGGGCAAACAGTGCATCATAGGACAACATTTGTTTGAATTAACATACCTCAAATGGTCTAAGAATGAGTCCAAAATCTGGAGACCCATTTGTTCCATGGGATTGAAACTTGACAAAGTTAGGGCCAATTTGGTGTTGTTGCATGGCCGCATAAGTCAACCACAGTCATGAGATAATCATTTCCAATATTCCCTGCCAGTTTCCCACAAGGAAAAGCAATTTAGAATCCAGCAGGAAGTTGGATGTCCCAGGCTGGCAGGGATTGCTGCCAGGTGGGGGAGAGACGGAGAGAGCTGTGAGGATGCAAGGGAGGCTCAGTGTAGGCGAGGGACAGTGCATAGGATGTACAAGACGTGTCGTGTGGATTTGGGAAGTGTGAGAGAGGGAGTACTCAAGAGGTGCATGAGAGGCCTGGGAAGGGTGTATAGGGATTTGCAAGAGGCAAACGGGTCAGGGAAATGTATGAGAGGTGCTTTGTGGGTGAGGAAGGTTGTGCAGCTCGGCAGGTATGCAGGATTGTGAAGAGTATACAAGGGTGCAACAGCAAGAGTCAGGGAGGGTATGCAGGGGTATGGGAGTGGAAGTTAAGGAAATATCTCTGAAACAATAACCCAAAGAGTCCTGGGTTGTATAGCAACAATATAACATTTTTAAAAAATTGTTCAGCCACCATACAAGAGTTAACATTTTGCTGTAAAATTATGACCATAACATCAAAGAAACAAAGACCCAATGAAACTGGGTATACAATTCCTGACATTCCCAGCTAGCATAGCCACTGATCTTACTAGTTGGAGGGATTTTGGGACTTGTAATTCCAAAATATCTGACAGTTGCATAGTTGAAGAAGGCTAAACTATCTTGACTTTGAGCAGAGGACAAGACCTGCAAATGCATACGGCAGGGTCGAGCCTCTGCAGCCAGCTTTTCAATTATTAAATGGTTTCAAAGGCAATCCAAATTCCTGTGTCTCAAAGCTGTACCAATTTCAGAAGACAATGAAAGGAATCAGCAGCTTACCGGAAAAAGTGATTGTTTCCCCACAAAATTCTATCACCGTGGTGTAGCTGTGTGGGACCTACAACAGCTGTGCCATTCACAAATGTCCTGTGTTGAAGGGAAAAAAAAGTAAATATAGTCATTCCCACATCAAGGATTTGGCCTGTCCTTAATGCCACATGGCAGTGATTAAGAAAAACATAATGTGAAGAACTTGTGTTGATTCCCCTCCTTTGAGCCACAGCAACAAAGCAGAGACATTGCATGGTAAAATAAATTGATACCAATCCAACACATCTGAACACTCCCTTTTCCCATTTACAAGGGAGATATATCAGTGCTCCTACAGCTGGAGAAGGAAAGTCTTTGGCTGGAATCTTCTTCCTGCTTGAAAGAGGTAGTCGGTTTTTTTTTTCCAGTTCTCTTTGTCACAACTGTCCCATCTGCTGTTTAAAAACTTTCCCAAACAAGCCTCTTTTGCACCCACCAGATACATGCCACCAGGAACAGAGCATGAAAATTTAGGAGAGGGAACAACAACTGGTTTGAGCAATTTCCTGTGCCACTTTGCTTTCCATAGCCGAAAACCACAACTCAGTCTCAGACATGTTGCTTGTTTCAGGGCTTCTGGTCAATGCAGCAGGGGGCAGGGATGTTCACTGAGTTCTCCCTCTCCCTTTACTGAATACATAAACATTCTGAGCCAAGGAAGCCCACGGTTTTGGCACTATTATTTATTCCAAATATGTGCATGCATTTACTCTACTGGAAAAATATTAGAATGAGGGGAAAAAAGCAAGCAATAAGAGACAATATGGGTCCTTTCATTTAGCTACAAAGATCCCAAAATCCAACTGTGGAACTTCTTCCATGCTTCATTTAATCCTGAATAAGAGCAAAATTCTTGCCTCTATAGACAGAACATAGTACTCAATTACCTAGTATTCTTCTGAGGTGTCAACATGACTTGTCCATCCCCAATAATATCTATTATACAATGTTCAGGAAGAATCCCCAATCCACAGAGCTGTATGTCTTGAGAATTATCAGATCCAACGAGTGTGTGCTCCTGCAAAAGATTCAAGATCAGGCCCACTGAAATCCAACAGAAATTCATATTACTTACCACACATGAAACTGACCATTCTCAATTCATCTAGTCCAGCTTTCTCAAAGTGCTCTAGCAAACCATAATTGTCAAATGATGGCTGGCTTCCCATCACAATAAAGTAAAACTATTGCGGCACGACTTAGCATCAAGTGTGCACTCAGTCATTACCTTCCCTTACACTCACTGTATAAAATCATAACGCAAAAAAAATGAACTCTGAGGAGGAAGTAGAGAGAAAGAGCAAGCTCAGCTTCCAGTCCTTAAGAGTTACAGATATTATCCAACCAGTTGAAATGAAAATAATTCAGGATTGTACTTTGTTTGCATTTGCTATAATGTGTCCACTTCTTTTCTTTAACAACAGCAAAAAAGGGGAAAATATTGACTGCAGGAAATAAATGGGAGAAACAATGAAAGGATAAGACAAAAGGAAAGATAAATTAAATTTCTTATTGAACTAACTTTGCTTTCTTCTCCCCAGTATTATTTTTAAATTGGAGCACAATTCTGATGAAGAATAATATATCCTGCTAGTCAATCATCTGAAAAGATGCTGGCTGTACTGTAGTGTAAATTAAACTGTCCTTGACATTAAGTCTGCTAATGTTACTCATCTTCACCTGTCTTTCTAGCACAGTAGTCTACATGCAACCTGCTGAATGTCGAAAGGAAAAAGAAGCATGTTTCATTTGTTTCTTAAAATTCTATGGTCTTTTTTTCAATTCCTCAAAGTAGCTTTGCATTAAAACAAATAAAAAACCATAGTAAAAACTCAATTACATTTACTAACATTCATTATAAATCCTCAGAATAAGAAAGCTATTGCCAAATAAGCCTGGAAACCTGGATAACTAGAATTGCTAAGTTACAGTTTACAGCAGAGGTTTCCAATGTTAGTTAGCAACTTTAGGATCTGTAGAATTCAATTCCCAGAATTCCCTAGCCAACCATGATGGCTGGGGAATTCTGGGAGTTGCAAGTCCAAAAGTTGCCAAAGTTGGACTCTCCTGGTTTATAGCATCCCTTACCTCTGGGCTTCATCAACAACTCCCTTTCTACTTCTGAATTAGAGAATCTGTCTGAAGGTAAATCAGTTGCAAATACTTTCTTCAGATCAGAAAGTGCTGCTTGATTGCCTAAATGCTTAATGGCAAAATATCAGGTGGATCTCATTTTGTTTTATGGCTGCACTGAGGCATCATTCTGAGTAATCAAAGCATCCTTTTTGGATGCTACCTGCCTCATTTCTGAATGCAGGGAACACAACAATGGTCCCATTGAAGACCATAATAGAAAGACTGAATTGTAGGAGGGAAAATCAGAGTGGGGGCAGGGAACCTGAGGCCTTCCAGATGCAGACTCCCTGTTGAATGTTTTAACAATGCTTGCTGGAGCTATTTGGAATGATAACTTTTTATGGATTTGGGCTTCATTTTTATTTCTTTGTGGTTTGGCATTTGGAGTAGATTCCTCCCACAGACAATCTGGCATGTGGATCATTATCAACTTGAACTACATATCTGAACTGAAAGAAAGAGGGAGAGTGCATACTATTTAAGGATGAGTCTATCAGAGGCTATGAACCACAATAACCATGCTAAAAAGGCAAAAGGAATGGGTGCTGCAAAGCTAGTCTCTCAAATATCTCTCAGGAAATGTAAGAACGAAAAGTTCAATTAAAATATATATAAAGTAGGAAGGTGCTGAGTTCTATGCTGAATTAAATAATGCACAGAATTATTTCTCTAAATCTATTTAAATCTATTTTTATTTGGCTTATTCAGACAGTAAGATCTCAACTATTTTTTTTTTAAAAAAGCAAAGGTTTAACAAAATGTGAATTGTAGCAGATAAAGATGTAATGGTATGTGAGAATGACCTTGAGGATGTGAAAAGATATAGCAGTTGCTTAAGGGTCACAGAAGAAATGTCGAAAGGGCCCACCCTAACTGATCAAGCTAGCTGTTTGTACTTTCAGACTTGTGAAATTATGTTAATATAGCCATACAATATAGTTGAATTAGCTGTTGGAGAAAGAGACTTAGGAACTCTCTAATTGATCGTGCTGTAAAAAGAGACTATGGGAAATCTGTGCTTTCAGACTTCCAAAATTATGTTAATATAGCCTTCCAATAAAGGAGAATTAGCTCAGCAAGTCATGTTTCCTGTCTGCTTTATCCAGGACAGCCTTCATATTGTAGTGCACCTGGGGTAATATCCTATTATAAATTTGTTCAGCACTGTTAATATTTTAATAAAGAAGTTATCATTTTAGATTCCTAAAGAAGGAGTCTAAATTTACTACAAAACGAGTTGAAATGATTGTGCTAATTTCCTCCCTCTTCTTTCCTTCTCTTTCTGAATTTTAAGGTATCAGTATTAGGATGCTAAGATGAAATCTTAACATTTTGCAAATAGCCAAGGTCACCCCCTGCCTGTATTTTGTTGCCAAGACATTCTTTGAGGGCCTTCACGCTGAGTAGCAAAGAAACAGATATGGCATCAGGAACTAGTTGGGAGGAGGGAGTGCCAGCTGACAAAGCTATACACCTACACTGCCTTGAAATTCTCTGAAGCTATTCAAAGTCAGCTCTTGTGTTGCTTCAAGGGAACAGTGATGACTAAAGATTTCCCCAACCCACATCCTTACATTCTTCAGGCTGCTAGACCACTATAAATAGGATTACTGGTTCTCCTTAAAGAGGCAGCATTTAAAATAATGTCACAGGTATGAATAAGTTTATAAGTAACTTTGATGTATCTGAACAATATTATAAGAAAAAGAGCCACTCATTGCACAACATTGCAAACCTTTCTGGGTCTGCAGTAAATATACTGTATTATTGGCTTGTTATTATTGCTTCATGAAGTTGCATTCCCTGCCTAATGCTTCTGCTTTTGCATTATGACTTGGCATCCTATATGCAGTAATGCAAGCCATGATTGTGCAAATCTAGTTCCCTCATAACCATGGCTTGCAATTGGCTAAAAAGCAAAAACTGGGAAATCTCTTCCAATTCCATAGTAGCCAAGCTTGGACTTTTCCAACCTCAAGGGGAGCAATAATGATGATTTATTGTACAAAGTTCCTGAGAAATATTGTATTGTATAGTGCTAAGTATCAGAGTATTTATATTTCTCCTAGCAGATTATATTCACAGTTGATGATGGCATTGAAAATATATTTATGGGGGAATCTGATTTGCAATTGCACATATCAAATCATGATTGATACAAATTGTCTGCTTTTCATAACAAAAAAGAATAACCTATATCCTAGTGTCTGCTGAAAACAATTCACAATTCACAATAAAATCTTGGGTTTGAGTACATTGACATTGAATAAACAGCTTTGTATGCTGAAGAGCCCAGCCTGACAGAAATGAAATATCACAAAATCTGCTTTTGCCTAACCAATCTGTCTTGATCCATTAAAAAAAAAAATCAAATCCAGAGTGGATTTTGAAATATTTTCTATATGACTCTTTTCAAAAGCCAATGGATTATAGAGGAGAATTCAGAAACAAGATCTTTGGAGCTTCTTACATTTAAGCAATTTTAAAACAACCCCGTACATCTTTCTAGTATCTCACCTTTAAATAGTAGACCAAAAGTTCATTGAGTGCAGGGTCAGCATTCAAATTCACCAGAAAACACTTGTTATCACCCACTTTGATCCCAGATGACTGAAGAGAGATGCCGAGGCTTTCCAGTTGTTTCTGCCGTTCCTATTTGAGAGGAGCAGAATTACCATTAGAAAAAACAACTAGAATCATATATTCTCACACAATGTGTGGTTATTCTTCTCCCTGGATATAACAGAGAAAAAAAACAAAAGGAGAGGCACAGTCAATGATTGACCACTGTAGCCTATCCACCTCTTTGAGCAGCTACATCCATGGCTGCTCTCCTAGTCTCTAAATTTTATTTTAATTAACAAGCTGCAACCCTCAGCCCATGTTTGGCCCCAACCCCTTTTCACAAATCCAGAATCCCAGAAATTACACTACCAAACCGCTGAAAAAGAAAGGAATGAGTACCAACATTTAGGCTTAACATTAAATAATTAAGACAACATCTGCATATAAAAAAGAAATGATTCTGAAATCACCGACTTGTCTAATTCAATATGATGTTATTGTCCTGCAACTACAGTCTTTGGCTGTGCTCATATAGCCCACCCATCTTTGGGGAAAAAGGATTGCTGATATGATTTGGAATTTAGCCATATGAAACTTCCCAGGAAAATCTGGGACAAAAGTAGCCACTGTAAAAAAAAAAAAGGAAATATGTACAGTATATGATACAGAGAAGGGGAGGAGAAAATAGGTTCAAGCTTCTTGTAGAATTTAGTCTCAAGGGCTATTAATTGAGAAACCAGGGCCTTGAGTGCTGGGGTAGGATTCAGTTTTTTAAACAACCGGTTCTGTGGGTGTGGCTTAGTTGGTGGGCATGGCTTGCAGGTCATGTGACTGGGTGGGCGTGGCCAACTCAACATCACTCACATCAAGGGGCGCTTCTCCTCGCCTGGCCTCTCATTATAGTAGGGATGCTGCAACAGTCGTAAGGGTGAAAAATTGTCATAAGTCACTTTTTTCAGTGCCATTGTAACTTTGAACTGTCACCAGTTTTAGACCAAAACTCAAAAAGGGCATGTAAATTCACATTCGAATGTCAATCTTTCCAGCTAGGCAAGAAGCTTTGCTGAATGTCATTCATCTTGGTTCCTTGTCATTAAAAGCTTCTTTCTGGCAGCTCTGCTTCATTATTCAATTATTTATTCAAAGTGCTAACTCCAACAGGGGAGTATTTCCTCCCAACAGCAGTGTAAAAAGCTTAAAACAACCCTTCCCCTTTAAGAAAGTACCAGTAAAGAAAAAAAACCTCCTTTGGAGACAGTAAGTCTAGGCATACTGCCAAGAATGCAAGAAGGGTAGAAAAAAAACAAAAGGAGATTTCTTCCGGGTTCTCCGAACTGCTTAGAAAGTTAACAAACGGTTCTAGCGAAAAGGAGAACCTGTAGAATCCCACCCTTGCTTGGGTGTACAAGCTAAAAAAGTACGCATGAAGATTAAGCTCCAAACTATTTGTTCTCATCTAGTTTAATCCAACATGAAATCTTATTTAGAAAAATGGTTCCCAGCATGTGATAATAGTGTGTGGCTTTACACACACATAATGTCAAGAGTTTGTGGAATTGTGGTGCAACAGACAAATGATAAATGGCCCAATTTTCAGGCAAGTACTCAATTTCACAAATGTTTGGCTTTCTCAACAAATCTGTACAACACCAACATTTCCTAAGATCTTATAAAGTACTATTCATTCCTTTGGTACTTTAATTTTTTTCATTTGATTGCTGGATCTCATGGAGGCCCTCTAAGGGAGTACTTAAAGTAGGATTGACAATGGCACCCTTAAATGCTTGTTCCACACCTACCCCAGAATCATTTCCGCATGATCAGAAAAATAAAATTAGCTTAAAGCACAACCTCTTTTTTTTCTCCACATCACCACAGCAATCTACTAAGTCCCTCAACCTTCAGAAAAATAAGTGCTAACCTTTCCTTTAAACTATCAATAAATCCATCACTGCTTTTGAAAGTGTTATGACAACAATAAACATTCCTGAGGGTACGAATTAAAAGATGGAGGAAGGAGACAATCGAGCAAGGAATAATATTAAAGGAAGATATGGCTGAAGATCTGACCTCCCTTTTGCTGCTTTTAGTATCCTGAATAGGTTGAAGGTTGGAGTGGCTAAACATAAAACCAGTATGTTCCAAAGGAGGCTCTTAGAGAATAACACCACATCGTCTGAATATAGAGAGACACAGAACCCAGCCCATCTGCAATCTACAACCAGAAATATGTACCAACAATTATTTATTTGGCCAACAACCAAGCCGTGAAGGTGGCTTCATTTTGGCAGTCCAAAGTTTGATCTAGACAGGAGATCACTGTTTGTGCAACAATAATCTCTCTTTGAATTGACCATCCTAGGAATTAAGAAATAAGTCATTCATGGGATCATAAATTATGTAGAAGTATCATGAGCTTTCACAAACGGTTTGTTTAAATGGTGACAGTAATCATCATTGTGTGCCAGCAAAACTCAATACAAAAATGCAGACCTGTGCAATTTCCTCTGTCTTCCTGAGCTTCTCTTCCCAGGTTACTGTCATCTCCTGAATAAGTTTTTCAGACTCTTCCAAACGATCTTTTAATTCTGGAGATTTCATAGCCTAAAAGATTAAGGGAGGGGGAATGGAGGTGAGAAAGAAAAAAGCAAATTATGGAATTCTCCTTAGAAGGGCCATCAAATTAAGGTTTCATGCATTCTTCATGATCTTATCATTGCAATCTATGTGACTGAAAAGTAGCTACCATGAATAATACATGCAGGAAACCTATGTCCTTATTGAGTGTAATATTGGGAGATGATGCCTGCATACCGGTGGAAAAATCTGACCTTCCAACTCAGCATTTTACTACAATGCTGATAAGAGGAAATCCTAGTGTAACAATTGTGTATTATTATTAAATTTATTACAGTTATGGAGCAGTATTTTGTGCAATTATTGTAAGAGATTATGTGACTTAAATTAAAAGCATAGATATTTTCTAAAACCAATTAAAATAAATGAAATGTTTCAATTATAATGATGTAAATGCAGGTTATAAAATACTAAGGATTTTAAGTATTAAATATTAAACAGCTAAAAAGGTAAGTTTCGGGCATCTAGAAGCACAGGTATGTGCATATATATATAAATCCTGCATGTATAAGCAAGCATGTATATGCAAGTATAGATGTATATAAATTTTGTTAGGATTGGTGACTGGTCAAATATAACCGAAAACTAAAAAGTATAAAACATGAAAAAGGGGAAAAGTATATTAGTAGAATCCTAAATGTGTGAAGTTTTGACAACTGAAATAAATTCTGCAATGTTGGACATGTTAGGGTTACAAAAAAAAGGACTAATGAAACAGAATTATAAACATAGAGTAAAAATGACTACAGAAAGGACATCTAAGAAATATGTTGGTTGGAATTTCAAGTTCCTCCAAATTTTGGGGGAAGATCTGATTTGTAAAATGAGTATTATAATATCCTTGCTCCAAAACTGCAGAGGACAATATATTAAAGTGGGCTAAGAGATTGAATAGATAATTCACTGGCAGGAAAGCTTTCTGATTTAAATGTTACCAAATTTGCCTTGCTCTACAAGGAGAGCTTTATCAAGCAACCCCTGCCAGACTGCAACTCCATTTCTTCGTAATGCCATGGTCAGAAGGGCTGTACGTGAGAAGTCACATTGGTGTAAATCATCCTAAATTCTTCCTTTCCATAAAGAGGAAAATTTACTGAGAAGGATCACAGCAGCCTAGGAATTACTAGAAAAGTGAAGTTTTAAGTCAAAAATAAACCCAGCATACACAACTATAAACCTGTTTATTCTTACTAGGTCAACTCGAGTTTTAGATTACTATTTCTATTGTAGTATATGTGAAACCACAGCATATCTAACTCTTTTCTCTTGACCTACCACAGCTCTGTGGAGTTTGAAAGTAACCTATTCCTCCACCATCAGGAATTCTTGCTTCGTTCTGCATCTAATCCATTAGAAGAAATTCTAGCTTCACCGTGCTTCCCAGTTCCTTCATTTCACAGGAGTGTTGTCCTCTCTATTTGATTGCATGTGTTTGTTCGTTTTTTTAGGAACTAGTGAATGAAAACTATGGCATGATGGAAGCAAATGCTATCTTCTTCAACCTGAGAAAGTTTAGATACGTTGAGTTTCTGCAACTTATATTCAGGTTGACTAATGATTCTGGGGGTCCAGCTTCTGCAAAGTCCTCTGCAATAGGTTAAAAACAAAGGTCCCCCAGAGCACCCTCCTCTTTGTTGTGCTGGACACAATTATATCTGCAGTTCTCTTGGCAATATTTTGAGAACTTGCCCTAGAATAATTCAGGAATCTTCAAGCTCCTCTCAGGCTAACAATCCTTCACTAGTGTAACACTGTCTTTCAAGTTTGTTCTTTAAGCACCTCCAATAGCCAAATCAACTAGATCCATCTTAGATTACCAGCCATTACTTTCCTCCATCAGAGTTCTCTTTTCCAGAGATCTGTTTTTCAGTACTCAGACTCCCCATCTTTTACCAACTGAGCAACCCATATTTTCTTTTTCCTATAAGAAAATCTTCCTATGGAAGACTAAGCTAACTCTGCTTTCAACTTTTGCTTCTTAGCTCCCTAGAATAAAATGCCTTGGTTGTCTTCATGATGGATTCAGAGATCTTACACAAAAATAAAATTTGCCTGAGCCTGTTTCATAATGCCAGGCATTTGTTTATGGGAAGTCTATCTGCAAAGCTTATGTGCTTCAATATGGCTTCTGAATTTGGGAGATACTATTTAATATTTATGGAATGTATGACCTATCTGTGGCAGTAGATCTGCTTCCAGAAAACCTGGAGGGAAGAAGGAGAAAATCTCTTGCACACAGATTCAGAACTGGTTGCTTACTGAACCTTGATCTGTGTGATGCGAGAAGCAATGTTCTACCATTCTATTGGCAAATAGGCATAGTATGATCACAGTGATGGCTAACCTTTTCAACACCGAGTGCCCAAACTGGAACATTAATGCACGTGTGCCAGAGTGCCGGAAACCAAAACCAACAGGTTGAGCACACCAGCCAGTTGATCTTCGCACGTGCCGGAGCACCGGAAGGCCAGCTGAAGGAGGGCAGGGGCATAATCTACTGACTGAATGAATTGCTCCTTCTATTGCCCTCAGTGAAAGAAGACTTACCTCTGCTTTGGTAAGCTGTTCCCTGAGTTTT